GCTCGAAGCGTGGAAAGAAGCACGACGATACATCCAAAAGAACAACATACACGGAGCTTCTGATTCTTCCACTGCTGGGAGTGTGTGGAGGGGAAATTAATGGAAATGACGTACATCCACGACATTCCTTGACATGTTCAAAGAATCTGAGGCGTTGGCTAGACATCCACGACTTCCACGACATCTTGGACCTGCCGAGGTGAAGGCGCAGAGCTACGCTGAAGGAGCGAGGATCACGTGGTCTTGTTTGGGCTTCCAAAAGCGGTTCCGTTTGGGAGGCAAGGTGAGGATCGCAGGTGTGCCGGACGCCCCGGATGTTCCCAAATGGCGGGTGTTCGGAGTTCGGTGATCCAGTGACTTCGTCGGAAGGATGCCCTCAGATTCGACTTTGTCCTAACAACATGAAGCTGAGGAGGGGATCCTTGCAAGGTGATGCACTGAACTCTTGGGTCACGTTGCAGTGCGTCCAACCGGCCAAAAGCGGGTTTTTCTCTGTGCGGGCCAAGCGGTTCTGCGCACACACCTCGACCAATTCTGGATCCATGTGCGGGGCCTGGCCGCGGCGGATCACCGGGGGTGGCGGATCAATGGAAGACCGCCAGGGTATATATGAGTAGCTAAGGACCTTGGGGGGGGTTGGGTGAGGTGAAAATGAAGGAACCAACCCCCCCCAAGGTCCTTAGCTACTACATGACCAGGGCCCAGTGGATGATGGTTCCGCCCACGGTGCAGACCTTTCCACAAACGAGTCATCTGATAAAACGACGGGTCTGTGCTGCGATGTTTTACAATGTTTTACAGCTAAACCTGGGCTCGATGAGACCCATGCCAACCGAAGAATTCTTCCCAAACCGGGGTCAAGGCTCTCCATGGGCGAACCAGCCGTCTTTCTCCCACCGCAACTGACGCCGCGTCTATCCCCCCCCCGAGAAACGGGCAAACTGGGCGGGTGAGGCCATGGGGTGCAGGGGGGCAATGAGATGAGAACTTTTGACAATTGATCCATCTGAAATCCATCTGAACCTCACGGCTGGTGGACACTTGATCATCAAATCGACGTGGTGCAAAATGTCTGAAACGAAACCGGCTTCTGCACAGGCTGTGGGGATCGCGATCCAACCAGGAGCATGTTGGAGAATGTCCACCACGAGTGCTCTGTTTTGGTTTGCTTGTCCAAAGGACCGAGGCAGTACAGAAGCACTGCCCTAGATGTCCTTGGAAACAACTGGGTACTAAGTTCGGTAGCACAAGCCCTACAAAACAGGGAGGGCATCGGCATACCCAGTGCGACACAGGCATTTTTAGCCTTATGGACCAGCTGCATGAAGCAAGGTTCCGTTCTGGGTATGCCAATAATAATAATTAAGTTGATCCACATTCACTCTCCTTGCAATCAGAAGCGACTTTACTTCGAGCTATCCCCACCCACCCATCAAATATATACACTGGTTTACAGTAAATTGTTGGGTGGAGGTCGGGGTGACGTGGCAAGGCCTCCGGCCGTGGTTCATTCTACTCTTCCACGACTCTCTTCCACACGTTCTTCCCATCCGCTCCAGCGTCTCCCCGAAGGCTCCGCCTCTGGTGCCCAACGTCTGGACGCATAGTCCAAGGCCGCAGCGTCCTGCCGATCAACGGCCGCGGTCCGGTCCATTGAAGAGATGGATCCCGGGAGTCCAGGAAAATCACTGACTCATTTTACCCCGAACTGGTAGTGGTGGATGATGACTCCCAGATGGAGTCCTTCATGAGTCGGAGCTTCTGGGGATGAGAGCGGGAGGGGCAAAAGAAACGATCTCAATGATGGAGACTCCACTGTTTCAAAGATCTCAGCATGGGTCAGCTGTTTTGGGTCCGGAACCTTCTCTTTTGAAAGGAATGCGAAAGTCGTTTGGCTCATTCACCCTGAGACTATGACAATCCAGTTGATCATCCTTCCATGACGACCTGCTGTGCATCGGTGCATTATATACCACTTCTTCGAGAGGACGAAGGTGACAAATACTGCCAGGCATCGCACCCTTCAGAGACAGAAGTCCTCTTCTCGCTCCCACTCGCGCAGATCGATCTGCAAGAGCTGCTCCTAGCAGGCTGCTAGGTTGGGACTGAGTCTTTCGCGTGTTGCACGAGTGAAGGATGACACAGTGTGTCTTGCTGGATGACAGACAGTGTCGGGGTGCTACGATTCAAGCAGGAATCCCCCTGATTGTCAACCCCCAACTCCACGATATCAAGAACACTGGGTGATTTAAGAGATCGATTCCCTATCCACACAAACAACCTGTATGCATGTCTATTAAAAATACAACACCACTATAACAAACATGGTCAGCCCGGCTGTGTTTCTTCTAAGTGCATGGCAGCATTGGCTCGCTTCACAGGAGTCAAGAAACTGTGTAAAAGACCCCACGAAGCATGTTTCCGCACCATTGTTCTCAGGCTATCAGTGTTTGGCCTGCAACTCTGTGTCTAAAAAACGAGCTGTTACAGCATGTCAAAGATTGGCAGGTGAGTGCCAGGGGTGTCGGCAGGTGCGTGCCTGATCGTGCCTGTGTGCCTGCTTCAGTCGAATGAGTTGAAAGCATTCCGTCATCACTTGAGGTGCAAAGCATCTTCCGTCTAGCCAGCAACTCCTCAAGCCCCAGGGTTTCAAGTGCTGTTGGGTGCACAAATCGATGACCATGTCCCAGGCAGCCCCGTTGAATCCCAAGCTTGAAAGTAAGGGGAAAAAAGGCACCCATGTCTTTGTCCAGACGCATTCGTACGCCGGCTGACATGTCACCTGGACCCTGAAAAAACCAGGTACTTGCGTGTCTTAAAGGAAAAAATGTCTGACTCAGGATGCCCATCGGGGTCCATGTTCGTTTGGTGCTTCTTTCGTTGCTAAGCGGATCAAGCGGAGGCCACACCTGGGAGGTGAAGACGCGCAGCATCTCTTCCAGGGCCTAGCGCATTGCCGAACGAAAGAAACACGGTTGGGGGGTGAAGACCGGATCGGTCTTCTGCTGCCATGAAGGCCATGACGAGGACCCACACGTGGACGTGATGTTGCATGAGTTTACAGAATCACTCTTGGATACTCTTGCCTGAATCTGCATGTCTTTCCTCTCTTCTTCTGTCCCCTCACATTCCCTCACATTCCCTCCATCCCTCCTCACCTGAAGGTCACCAGCTAGAACTGCATCAACATGACCTGAGCTCACAGCAACAGACGAAAGCGCCCCACACAGTTGGCCAATCCACCCGCTGGTCAAAAGACCGTTCGTGGACTCCTTTCTGAATACGAAAAAAAAGGGTGGGTGACCTTACAGGACCCGTATCCAACAAAGGTTCAGTGACCGTAAATAGGACCCGTATCCTGGGGTACTCAACTGGATAGTCGAACTAGTGTTCTTCAACCTCTGTTGGTTCTTGGTGTTTTGGCGCCTGCAGGAAGCACCTAGAGTCGACGAAAAGCTTCCAACAACTGCAGCAGGCACGTCCAGCGGCGCAGCGCGTCCCAGCGGCTGTGTTGATGTTTGTTTTCCGCGACGTGCGACGTGCGATCAGGGGGTCTCTAATTAAAATTGGTGGGCCTCGCCATCTATAAAAATTCTGTTGGGGCCACTCTGAGAAGACCATGTTGGCTTTCCCCAGTCATCTGACAACGGCATGGAACTAACAAGGCCTTGCAAGATCAGATTCAATTCATCCTGTCATTTCCATGATTTCTAGAGATAGAGCACCCTAAAATGTGCCTTTTGTTAGGCGAAGACCGGATGGAATATGGCGGGACGAGTGCTTAAATACATGTGGGTGGGTTAGTGTTTTTTTGAGATGTTTTGATGTTCAACCCCTTACTTGGCACAATTGATCCGACTGACTGACATATATTGTTCGTTCCTGCCCTTTTTCAACCGCCGGGACCCCCACGACTATCTCCAGCCCGACGCCGGGCCGCTTCCGAAGCCCACCGCGCCCAGGATGGCGGCAAACTCCCGCAGCTTGCGCTCCACGTTAGGGTGCTCCGGGCCTCTTAAGGGCTGACCATGTGGGGGTTTTGTGGGTGTTCTCGGTGTGAGAAAAAGGTGGTGGATCCCTGTCTGTTCTCGTCTTGAGACTTTACACCAAGACTTCCCAAGAGGATCGAAGAATGCATCTAAATTCAGACTAACTTGGGGATGAGTCGTTCAACCTGGAACCCGACCAGTCTACCATGTAGCGAACTACCAACACCAGGTAAGTCAACTAAGGTAGCCTGGTGCCATGACCCACGGCCATATCTAAGTACTTCGGTAGTCAACGTGGATTCCTGCCCAAGTGGGACACTGGAAGTCAGTACTTCGCCATCACAAGAGCAAGGTCAAACAAAAGCACTGGTAAGCCGGGGTGTGTGTGTGTGTATATATATATATATTGTTGGCTTCCAAAATGTCTTTTCCCAAAATGGTGCACTCATCGCAATTCCATGGGAGCCCGCTTCTAAGTCTCCTTGAAACTCCAAGCACACTCAAACCAACAGGGACGTTAAACATGAAGGCGTGTCAACTGCAAAAACTGTGAGAGGTGTCTAGCGGCGACCTTTTCAGGGGCCTGTTGAGCTGCTGGAGCTGTTGTTGCTGCTACTGCTGCTGCTGCTGGACTTTCCCATTGTTGTTCTCTAAGAGCTGACTCAAAAGATTTGGATGTTGGATAGGCAAATGGTCAAGAAATGGACCGTCGTCTAGCGCGGTGCTAGCGCGGATCTAGCGCAAAAATATCCGTCGATTTCTTTATCCTGTCAGATTCTGATGTTTCCTGCTTGCTTGTCTTCTTCTTCTTGTTGTGCATTCTTCTTCTTCTTCTTCTTCCTTTATTTCTGTATTTCTTTATTTCGTTCTTTCTTTCTTTCTTTCTTTCTTTCTTTCTTTCTTTCTTTCTTTC